TATATATATATATATATAGCATTTTGTGAATTTGTTTTGAGGAAAAGTGGCTTGCATAACACTATTTCTAGCAATTCTAAATTGTTATTATCAAGAATGGCTAAGTGTGAGGTTATCTTATGTATTATGCAAAATACATGGTTTAGTATTCAAAATTTTATCCTACTTAACAAATGCGAGTATCTCATATTGAGAGAAAGAAGTGACGAATTCTTACTCTCCTACTAGAAAGTAGCTTTTGCTGCTCATTGGTTCGCGTGAAAAGGATTTCTTGAAAATTATTTTGGTAACTATGGAGAATCTGATAATTCTTTCTCTTAGCATTTTTTTGGTGAATTTTGATCCCCATTTCGCTAATTCTAAGAGGCCAAAATCTTCATTACTCTTGAATGTATTTAGTACACAATTTTAGTATATTTGTGGACTTGGAGAGATAGGCTAATTTGGACACTTTGCTAAATTTGGGCAAAAAACGACGGTTAGCTTCTTTTTAAAAGATTTCAACACCTACGGTCTCACATGAAAGTCGCAAAGAATCAAAATGCATATATCCAAGAGTTGAGAAAAACAATCTTTTGTCCACACTAATTGTGCAGTTTGGTAAAAAACATGTATTGCATTGTTTTCCCAATGAAGATTTGAGATATTATCAGTAAGTTTCGAAATAAAAAATATTAACTTGAGACATTTCCATTAGATTGACATTAATAGAAATGTTGGAATGTAAAATTCCTAAATAAAGGTAATATTGGAAGGAAAATGAAGAATATTATGTCTTTCGTCTTTCATCATAGTTAAGAAATATTATTGAAGATTGAAATGAAAGTGAGAAGCTAATTGCTAAATCTCAAAACTAAATTAAGGGTAAAGAATACAAAAAACAACAGTAACAAATTTTCAGGGATTCAAATCTTCCAAATAATTGGAAGACATATTCCATGTTTATTTTCAGGTGCTATCCAAATAATTCTACGATAGGGTAGAGAAAATATATGTACTTATAATAGATATTTCTAAATAAATATTATTTGATTAATATTTCAATAACAAATATTTCAAATAATAACAATAACTACAACAATAATAGTAATAAGATTGCATATAAATATTATAGCTATAAAATAATAATAATAACCGGAAAAATATAATATCATAATATTAGTGACGATAAAATATGATAATAGTTCAAACATAGATGAATATTTCAAACATAAACAACAACAACAGCGACAACAATAACAATAAAAAAATAAACATTGCATATGAATATTATCTAATATAACAATCATTGTGAAAATTATAGACTTTATAATATCATAACATCAATATTAGTATTATATTATAATATTAATATAATATTATATACCAATTCTTCTCTTTGCATTTTTTCTTTTTGTTACTTAAAATATGATATAAAGAAAAATGTGACTAGAAGAAGTAAAATGATAAATTATGGAATTATAATCGTCATAGTTTTTTCCACCATCCATTTTGCTTTTTTGTAGAGGCATCATTTTTTGACGTCTATCTCTAAGATGGATGTTTAATACATAACACGACTCACCATAACTAGGTCCTATTATTATTGCATAACTGTCAAAACTGTCACTATTACAATGATGATGATTTTATAAATATTTGTATATAAACTTTTAATACCTAAAGGGACCAGGCACTACAGTTTGTTAAATACTTTGGAATATTCCACATTACTAGTGTCATTTTCTAATTATCTCTAAAAAAACATGTCATCCGTAATCATAATCTACAAATATACTTCACCCAACCTTATTTAAATTGATTTACTACGTGCAACGCATGTAATCCATTGTTATTATTATTTCTATGATTTTATCCCTCCAAAGCAAGCCCCATCTAACAAGTATCTTAATAAAAAAATGGAAGCTATTCCAATTAACTACATTCTCAATTACATATGAAATCAATGACAGGGAATACGTAGACATTTTAACCCTGCCATGTTTAGATTCACAGGTAATATTTGCATTATGCACTAAAAGTATAAAGGAAAACCAATTTAAAAAGGAGTGTGGTTTGCATAAGGTTGCAACCTTAATAAATCCAATTAAGACGCACCTCAAAATTTTATCATAAATGTAATTTCGATATAAAATATTCTTAAGATGTCTCAAGAATCAATTTTCATCTCTAATTATAAAAGTTTAAACTCTAAAAATGGTTCAAATCAAGTAGATCTATAAACACATGAAAATCTTGAAAATAGACCGTCCGGATAACATGTTGCAAGATATGTTATTTCACATTATTTCACGGAGTTAGAAATCATTTTTTTCTTTTCATATTCATAATTCCAACATCCAAACAAACCTTTTATAATGGATTTTTGAGGTGCAATTCACTCTACATTTTAAGGTTGGAACTTATGTAAACTTTTTTCTTTATAAATTAGAAACGAAAAGACCAGGGTAGGCTCAATTTGTTGAATGACAAAACAACATTACCGTTTATTTTCTTCTCTTAGTACTCAACTAAAATTTTCTAAAATTAGACATATTTCTTGCAGCAAGATATCACCTCACCCGTTACGTCTCTCTCTCTCCTTTATCAAAGATCAATTGATCCTCGAAAATTAAAACAAATGGAAATTGGTAAAAATGGCAGTAATCTCTCTTTCATAATTTATATGAATGAGAACCCAGTGCCACTAGCCCTCCTATTTCCCTTTTTCAATGGTAAAAGACCACTGTCCCACCCTTCCGGTAACTCAGTGTCACGAGAATATTCCATATTCATGAGAAGTTTGGTAAAATTTTATTTTGGCGGCCTACCTAACACAACACATCTTCTTTTTTGGCGTTTGGGCCGAGTGAAGGGAAACTCTAACTTTTTTTATTTTTTGTAACTTTTTCATTTTACTGGATTTTGTTCAATCCAATAAAATAAAAAAGTTAAAAAAAAGTAATAAATAAATAAATAAAATTAATGGATTAACAGGGAAATTCAAAGAAAAAAAAGTGCAAATTTTCAAATCATCTTAAAAATTATCACAATCATCGAAAAGCTTAATTCTAACTAATATAATAGTGTTCTCCATATTTGTTTTTATGTATTTTTCTGTTTTATAATATTTTTTACCTCAAAACCCACAGCTGGCTGAGGAGGCTGAGTTACACGCGAGCTCAAGTAAACTTGGCCGAGTCCTGTACCATTGCACATCCATTACCACTTCATGGGGAACTGTAAAACCAATGAGGTAGTGGCACCACTGAGCAAATACCTTCAAATAATCAACCCGAAAAATAAGAACGGATGCCGTTCTTATGACATCGCCTTCGAACCCGCCATGCTGCGTTATGTTTGTTTTTATGATTTTTTTCATGTTTGTCCACAGCTTTCTTAAACCTGTTACTCGACATTGCTTCTCTGACAACCAACCTCGAAGAAGATCCGTATGAATACCATGTTCAAGAAAGCCTGTGGAAAGCATGAAAACATCAAACCTTCGATCGTCGTCTGAAATTTCTAAGTGAAAAACACTTACAATGTTGAGAACAAAAAGAGGGAGCAAGAGACGAGAATGGTGATATGGAGAGAGCACATGGAATCCCTTTTTCTAGAGGTCCGGGTTAGAGTTAACCACCCCACTTCTCACGGTTGACCCGGGCTACCTAACTGAATCATTCCAAGTCGGGCGGCATTTTTGCCAAGTGCCCAAACTAGTGTGGGAAAAGACGAGTCGGGCCGACTACTCCGCCCATGCCCTAACCACTCATCCGAATCTGAGTAATTGTAGTTAGAAAAAATTCAAAATAGAATTTTAAAAAACACAGCTAATTGTGGTTAAAAAATAGCAAAAACTAAATTTTAAAACATGAGTATGTGATTGGAAGAATTCTTAATTTTTTTTAAAAAGGGCGCAAGATATTTTAAATTAATTATTCACAGTCAAAATATTTTTCAATCTCCGACAAAATGATAGAAAACATAAATAAACATCCTACAACTATATTTTTTATTTTTTAAAATTTCTTTTTAAAATTTTTTTAAGATCTCCAAGTTGGACATCCAACTCGACACAACTCGGGCTTGGCAAGGGCCCGAGCCTGAGTAACTCGGCCAAGTAGAAACTAATGGATGGACTTTTCAAATGCTGACTCAAACTAACTGACGCTTTACAATCTCAACAATAGGAGAAGCGGTTATGATATAAGGAAATGTATATGATTAGACCATTTACTTTTAATACAAGGTCACAATTAATTGTCAACCATTGGATGTGAAATCAGATGGATGGTGATGTGTTAGACACAAAGCCTGAAATAAATTTTCTTGAAAGTTGTTAGTCTTTCAGTTTAAACAAGATTGAACAAAAAAGGAAATGGTGGAAGGTCGATTTTCAAATGGACATAGTTTGTTATTTTAACTTGAGATAGAAAACAATCGATTTCTCCCTCATTGTTTCATCTAGTGTTTTAAAAATCAAATCGGTAGGGCTGATCATTCACCCATAGATCCATGTCGGATAATTGGATCAGTGATCCCAGGTGTGGATTGATATATATATATATATATATATAAAGCTGACTAGCTCATATGAACATATGACCCCAACGACTCAAATTGAATCTGGGCCCACAATCACAGATGTCCTGTAGTGTTGAATTTTTTTTTTTTTTTCTACAAATCCAAATCACTTGAAATTATAGACGTGTATTCATTAAAAATAGGGATATTCTAAACTTCACAACCCTTCAAATTACAAATGTTCAAGATAGATAGAGCTGTGAATGGTGGATTTATTAATTTTGTTGTCTATTTTTTTAAAAAAGTTACTTTTGCAGGGAAAATTTGTAAATATTACTAAAAAACAAAGGGTATTTTTGTTATCTCTATAAGGGGTAAAATTGAAGTTTTAACTAAAAGACAATGACACTCTACAAAATAAAGTTTAAGGACACTAACTTCCAAAATGCCATTGTATTTTTGTGAAAATTTCAAATTTGTCATTGCTTAATAGTAAAGTTACCTATTTAAATAAGTTTTTAATGAAAAAATAATGATTGTTTTGATAATATACTCATTACAACCCTTTTTAACTTGAACCTTTGTATTTTGAGGAGTTGTTAACTCAAGACAATCCCATATATATATATATATATATATATGAGTGTGTGTGTGTGTGTGAAAATGAACAATATTTTCGCCCATAGGCTCGGCACCGTTCGATTTTTTCAAACGGCATGGATTAAAAGATCACCATGGACATAGAGTGTTTTTAAGGCAAAACTGCAACCGCTTTACAAAAGCTGTTGCGGGGTGAAATACAATTCAAATTCGTCCATAAGCATTCGATCTTTCAATTCTTTTTTAAAGATTAGTTCCTTCGATCTTTGAATTCTTTTTGTTTGAAATTCTAAGAAATTGTCGCAAAGGTTGGCTTTTATATCCATTTTTTAAGAAAGTGCCTTCAATCTTTGAGTATTTTTTTTTTTTGAAGTTCCAAGAAAGTATCACAAAGGTTGGTTTTTGTATCATTTTTAAATTTTATATGAGGTCAGTGAAATATCCTATTAGTGATTTTGAAGTTTGGTTCGATTTGTGTAATAATATTTTTGGAATATTATAACTACATTCATACATAGTTTAAATGTAGTAAAATGTATAGGATATATGACATTGGCAAATCTTTTACGTTGGCTTTTAATATGGAATTACATGCTTTTAATAGGATAAGATGTTGGAATAACATATTTTTATTATGATAAATTTTTATTTTTGCTCTTTTTTTTGGTAATATAAAAGCTTTTACAGTATCTCTATATAACTTTAAGCTAATTTGTGAGGCTAAATTAAAAAACTAGAGAAAAGCCAAAAGTTTGTTTAACGAAATATAAAGTTGGCTGATGGAAGAAAATAGGTTAGAATATTGGAAGAGACTAAAGAGGTATATTAATTTTAAGTGATTTTTAAATTAGTAGCATATTGTGTTTATCTTGTGTAGTTTTTTGTGTTTATTTTATTTATATTTATTTTTTATTTTTTATTTTAAATTAAAATTAATATTTTATAAAAGGATGCGGTTTCTATAAGGTTGCAACCTTAAACAATCCAATTAAGGCGCACTTCCAAATTTTATCATAACATGCAATTTTGTTGGAAAAAATTCATAGGGTTATCTTAAAACCTATTTTCATATCTAATTAGACAATTATAAACTCTAAAAATAGTTAAAATCAAGGAGATCTATAAACATATGAAAATCTTAAAAATGGATAGCCTAGACAATGTGTTGCAAGATGCACTATTTCTAATACTCAAAATCTTTTTTTTTTATATTCATACATCTCGATGTCGAATGATCAAATAGAGGGTTTTTCAAAATTAAAATAACCTTTCCGATAGATTTTTAAGATTCATATGTAATTCTATATTTTAAGGGTGCAACCTTATATAAACTTTTTATGGTTAATATATTTAGGGAAAAGTTTTAATAAGGTTGGAACCTTAAAATGTAGAATCCCAGATGCACCTCAAAAATCTATCGGAAATGTTGTTTTAATGTTGAAAAAACTCTCTAATCATCTTGACATCAAGATGTATGAATATGAAAAAAAAAAGAAAAAAAATTTGAGTCCCGAAAATAGTGCACCTTGTAACACATTATCTAGATCGTTCATTTTCAAGAGTTTCATATATTTATAAATCTACTTGATTTTAACCATTTTTGGATTTTAAAATTTTCTAATTAGATATAAAAATAGATTTTAAGAT